CATGGAATGCGTTTAATCCATACAAAAGTCATATATTAGCAACGTATATGACAATAATGTCAAAGTTCAAAAAAGAATCATAAAAAACTTTGAACATGATAATATTTGCTATTTATATTATTGCTAGTAAATAGATAAATAAGACAATATACCAAAAAAGATCTTGTGGACAGCAACCTTTTTCACAGCAACCTGCTTTTGTATCACATCTAAAATAAAACTTTATTATTAATAATATTAAAAAAAATCTGATTAAAATTATTTTTTCAGATATCAAAATTTTCGAAAACTTTTTACAAAACTTTTAATAATAAAAATGAAAGACTCACAATAATGTTACACTTGTATTGGCTAAATTTTTCGCTGTGTATACACAACGAATAAATCCTGAACCAGAACCAGAACCGGAACTTGAACCTGAAAATAATAAAAAGCTTCCGCCAAATTTAATTTATCAATTTATGGCTGATAAAATATGGAATAAAATTAATTTCAGTAATCAAAACTCATTAACCATCAATGCTTGAGCCAATAAAATTGCCCACAGAAGCATGTTGCAAGGCTTCTTGTCTTGCTAAAAGCTGCTGTTCATGCATGAGCGCTGGATTTTGTCTGAAAATACAATATAATCTTCAGTTTTTATTTAAATTTATTCTGTTAATTATAATTTATCACAATAACATGACACATTATCAATATTGATATGATATCTGTTGTAATATTATCACTTTACCACTCCATATTGTAAATAATACTATATAATTAAACAGTATTACTTAAAAATAAGCCATTGAGATTATTACTTAAATTTCTTGTATGCAAGTTTTAAGTATATAAAATTCATTAAAAATGTATTCAAGTTGAAATTAGCAACGTTTAGTAATTTTATAAAATTAAGCAAATATATCGATGAATAAATGGATCTCTTTAAAAGCTATATATTTAATTATTCAATTGTTAATAAATTGTGTTATTTTTGTGATTTGAAATAGTTTAACTATTAAATAATTATTAATTGATTTTGAACTTACAACGAAGTTGAGCTGTGCTGATATGTTCCCCATCGATTCATTTTAACTTAAATACAAATTTCAGAACTTATAATTCAAAGTAAAGCATATTTTAAGCTGATGCAAAATAGTGTACGTACGTTATGGACTATTAGACGGTTATTTAAAAATAAAAAATTCAAATATTAGGTGTTTAAATAAACAACAAATTTGAAATCTAAATCAAATCTCGTTAAAGGTAATAAATAGTAAAGAAAATATTTGCAAACAAACCAAAATCTCTTTGACAAATATAAATTTTTAATAAAAAATTTTGTATTTGCCAAAGATTGCGCATCTGATTACAATGATAATAAAAGTAAACACGAGACGAATCACGTGATCAATTCGGTTTTGGAAATATTTTAATCGTTCGAAGATTATTAATTAGATAATTTTAGTACATTCAAACATTGCTGACTAGTGATTACTAGATTTTTTCAATTTTTGCTTAGTAATTGATTAAAATCCTCAAATTATCATTTCTTAAGAGGATAAAATCATGATAGATCAAATAAGCTTAATCTAAAACTCAAATACACTTAATCTTAGACTGTTTATTTTAAGTATTTTAAACTGATAACACTATCACTAGCATAAGCAATAGCATTACTGTACACTAACGCATTCCAATTTAGCTCAATTTGAACGTACTAAATGATCATTCCATGCACTTCCCATTTTAAATAATACTCAGTTACTGTCAAAATATAAATAAATAAAAACATGTTTTGAATATATTTTTGAATTTTACTTATTTTATACAAATACTATAATATTAAAAATTCTTTAGCTATTGTATTCTATTTACAAAATGAAAAATTGAAACAGTAAAACAGTTTATCCATTTGAAATACAAATAATGTTAGAAGAAAATGTCTACTTCAGATATTTTATTAAGTTAACTTTTAATATGTCAATAAACTGTGTATTTGTCGTAATAAAGTAACGTTTGAATATTTGGTTACTTAAGTGAAGAAAAAAAATCAGACAGACAACTCTCAAGCAAACACATTTCATCTGCATCAAATTTCTAATAAACATAATCCTACCAAAGCATTTCAATTATTATTGAAAAAAAAATAACGCTTAGAATGTTTTGATTATATTTGGAATAATAATTTGAAATAGAAAAAAGAATAACTTCATCAAATATCTCATTTGACCTAATGCGATCTGCGCTAAAATTAGGAGCTTACGTGATGTACACAACATGTCGTGCAACTTACGTGCTTCGTCCTAAGTTATGTAATTAAAGACGGAACTTACGATTTGAAAATAGCTTGTTACGTATTACGTTATAAATGAAACAGTATAAAGTGATTACAGAAATTAAACTATTGTAAAATTAATTGTATTCACGTCATGAAACATTTGATCAAAAAGGATTTTTCCTGATTTTTTGATTAAATTGAAATAATTTTTCAGATATTATCTTATCATACGCACATTTATTTTACTTTTCTATTTATGATTACAAAATTCAAAAAAGCTTAATTTAAGAAATTTTGAAATTTTTAGATCTCGATGGATAAATAGATCATTTTAAGTTGAAAGTTCATAAGTAAATGAATTACGCTTAATATTTTTTGTGCAATCAATGATGGACAAATAAAATAGTATGCAAACATCAAATTTATATTTACTTTATGGAAGTAATTTTATTTTCGTTGATGTGATCAACTTTTTGACGAAAAAAAAAATTAGTGAAGGAAATGATCAAAATTCTCATAAAAATAAAACAGAATCCTCATTCTGATAACACAGTGTTATCCAGCTTTGATGAAGTTGAAATAATTCCTCAGATGTCATCTTACTCATACCTGTCATCCAATATTTTACTGATTCTTCACTGAATTAAACTTACAATAATGAATAATTGCTGTTTTTCTTAAACACTTCTCAAGTTCAACAAATAAGTACTTAAAATACAAAAATGATGTCCACACATAAACGTGCACTTGCTATCTCAATGAACCACTTTTAGTGAGATTCACGCAGTCAGAACGAACGGATCTTAAGAGTGATATTCAAGACTAGTTAGCTACTTTTCAATCATTTATATTCTGAACAGCGAGAATAGAGAAAACGCTAGTCTTAGTTACCAGCCTTTCACAGAAAATTTATACGCAAAGATAAACAATACGACTTCGAGAACAAGATCTACCTGCCACTCTTTCTTTTTGCTAAGCATCGAAGTTTTCTTCTAACAACGACCTCTACACATGACCTTTTAAACGAATGATCTGCTGAATAGTAATGTAAATACAATAGTATTCATCGTGAATATTCTTTATTGACTGAAAGGTATAGTGAAAAACTTGTACAACGAATTTTTATTGAGATATTACCTTTATGCAAAGGTAGCAAATATCAAAATCTGCTTCAATTTTGAGAATCTTCACCACTTGCTTTCTTTTCTAATCAGAATGATCGCGAAACAGCATTTAGTATTTGACGCTTCCGAATAAGATACGTAAAAAAGATTAAACATGAGTACGTTGACATCAAGTGAAGTTACATGATCAATACAGAAAAGAAGAAATACAAAGTTTACAACGAAATACATTCAAGAGAAGACCCACCGGCTATGAGATAAAACTACCTTATTTTGATAACCACGAATTATTTGAGAGATTTTTTGCAATTGACATATAAACTTTGCAAGAACTAATTCATAAATAAAATCAAAAATACAAAAGCTTATTAGAATATGATGCAAATAAAATTATATTTATGATGTATCATCCCACAACCTTCTTTCTTGACTGAAATTTACGATGACGAACTTCCATCACAAATTTTATTCGAAATGATAAAACTGTCACACAAGTTTCTTTTTTTTCAAAAATTTACCACAAAAATAGCCCTTAAAATTACATGAATTACATACTCGAAAAGAAATGCCTGGATGATAAGGGATGGTTCAGAGCAAAAAATGACAACAGATTTAAAAAGGTACATACACCATGTAAATAAAAGAATACTGATTCAGCTCTGCGAAAAACTGGAACACTTTGGTAGCAAAAACATTTGTAATGAAAAAAAAGACATATTATAGAAGTAAAAGCCCTACACTTCATAAATTGTTGGGAAAATCCTGCACAAAGCAGTATCACAATACGGCTAATGTTAAGAAGAGAGCGGAGGATACAATTCAACCTGAAAAAAACCAGATTAAAAACTTGAATCACATAGTTTTCAGAAAAAAAGATGAGCAGTTAGTATGGTAAGTTGAAAAATTTAGCTCTGAAGACAAATGTCAGACAACTAATGAAACATAACTTATGAGAAACTAGTCGCCCATTCAAATCTATACCCCATAAACGTTCCTTCCTATCGAGAGTGATAGCACTTAGATATAAAGGCACTGGTTTCCAATAATTTCCAGCGGGGTTACCGGCTGCTAGACCCTGAAGTCTATGAAGCAATCCCGAAGCAGAAATCGACCAGATTACTTTACAGCCGACTGCCACGTCTTTTACACCTGGTTCATTATTCGCCTAAAATTACTTATCAAAGATGTAACAGGCATCTACTTTAATAATTTTCAGCTGCTGTTATTTGCAAACAAACCTCAAGCCATGATCTTCCAGCAGGAACCACGTCTGTGATAAAAGAACGAGCCCAAGCGCGCCCTTCGTTAATCGAAAAAATCCATACATACAATCCATTGCAGGACGCGCGGATCTACAAGTAAAACTTTACAGTGTTTTTAATAAAATTTTTTGATAAGAATGAATTATGACGGAAAGAAGTAAAACAAGAATTTTCAAAAAATTTAGATGAGACAAAAGAAAAAATGATAGATTATTTATAAAAATTTGTATAAGCCATACAACCAACTTTGTTGACCGCACTACCGGGAGAAGTTTTTATATGTATCCAGATAGGACCGCTGCCAACTAAAGGATCGTTAATTGCACTTTTTATATACAAACACACTTCACCGAGAACTGTAAGCACCCAAATTGAGACTGATGTGATAGCAAACGACACAACTGGTGAACCTGGAATCTGCATGTGAAGATTTCCCAGTACAAGAAATTTTTGTAATATAGAGTAGGAGTCAAAAAAAAAAATAAACAAAAAACACCCATCTAACTGGCAAAAAAGCTAACCACATGGGCCCGTGTCCAAAAGTTTCCAATCCGTACCGAATGGAGAAAGAGAAGTGATATTTTCCTTAACGTATATACAACCAGTACTATCTAATATGTACACTTTTCCATCAAAAGATGAAATTTCAATTATCTAAAAAACTTGACATACAAAGAAACAAAACAAAACTCACTGTAATAAAGACAATATAGTGGCAAAAAAATAAGTTTAAAAAACATGCTGTAGAACATCTGTTGTATTTTAAGAAAAAAAATGAGCTTCTTTTATCAATCATAGTTCACAAGACAAAATCCACATGTCACATGTGTTGAGATATTAATGAAATTACATCTGAAGTGAATGAAGCTGGAAAAGCTGGAAACGAGTAGAAATAGGTGTTCTGCAACCGATAAAGGAATATTTCGTTTAATCGGCACAAGACTAAACAGTCTGTAATGCAGTACACAAGTTTAAAAGACAAAAAGTTTAATCCGTTTTAATTCTTTTTACGAACAAAAAATTTTTAGTACAATTTCATGTCATAATTCTCAAAAGAATGAAAAATAACGATATGATTGGGACATGACCATCACGTTGATACATGCATTAAACAAACTACTCACCAATATTATGTATGTCTCCACCCGCTATCAATTCAAAATTATCATTCACTGCAAGCTTGTCAGGCACAATATGCTCTAGGCAATGCCCTGAGAGTAAGCCCGAGCTAGATGACATATAACATTTATGATCGACACATACAAAAACTCCTGCTGATGAAACACGAATGACCCACGGTAAAGTTCTCAGACGATTAATATCTGGTGAAACATCCCATGGATTGTAAACCTTAACAAAACTGATTTCAACATTCTGCAAGCATACATTGCACTTGTTGCATTAATGGGAATTTCCACCGAAAAAAACCCATTCAAAAAAATTTTTATATTCCAAACAATTCAGTTTTGAACTTTTGAAAGAAAAGTACAAATGAATAACTTCCTATATATCTTGAACTCAGTATATTGGCATGAAAACATACTCTCATCCAGTTCCCTGTGGAGCCAAAAGGATTCTGAAATCCTACACCATTTGTAAACCACAAAGAACAATTTTCATCGATTGCCCAACCACTGTGATCGTATAAGCAAATGCTGATTAAACGCTTCGGACCAAGTGGCCTGGAAAAGTTCATTTTTCTCAAAGTTGGAGTACAAGTCTAAAAACTTTTACTTCATTCAACATGGAATACTTAATGAAAATGACACATACATAGCTTCAATCCAGTCTAATCCAACAGGACTATGTTTTAACCCAGCACGAACTACAAGATGACCAGAAACTGCGTGCAGTGCCCAAACTGCAAATTCACTGGCGGTAATTGAATGCAAGGGCCAAGGCGTTTCACACCTACTGAGAATGCCCATTTCAGGCAAACGTAGCTGCACATACACCTAAAATCTATTTTTGATTTCAAGCACTGCTGATTGCAAAAAAAGGAAAACATTGGCGATTTAGGTTAATTAGTGAGTTTGCATCAACAAAATTCAAAAAATAAATTACCAAAAATCAGTGTATACGAAGTCAATAATAAGTTCTCTCACTTCACTTTTTATCATTACACTTAATAATGATAATATAAAACTGATTCTTGCAAGATGGAAAAGCAATCACCTCTCCTGACTTTGTTATGTACCAAGCCGAATCTTTAGTTAGAGCAACTTCTACAATACCTCCACCTTCGCTAGCAACAACCATCCAGCTCACAGCTTTCAGAAAAAAATCCGGTACAAAAATATTAGTAGATGGAGTATATGCCAAGTTTTTAAGGATTTTCCATACCAACGTGCCATTATCTTCAAAAACCATAACGATTCACAGAATTAATTCAAAGTTAAGCTTCTTTGAAAAGTTTAGTCAATAGTGAATTAAGACCACATAACGCCAAATGCTTTGAAAGAAAAAATTAGGTGTGTTCTGTAGTTTTGTCATCATTTAGCTGGTGAAAATATCGAATAAAAAATTTGTAAAATCAAGCAAAAGTATACTTGCATGTTGAAAAAAAATTTTGCATCAAAACCAAATCATTCAAAATAGAAACTCGGATATTTAAATGTCTGAGACAACATTAAATCTCTTTAAGCAATATACAATATTTTCAGATTATAATTAAATACATACTATTCCAGTAATGCTCTTGGACTTAAAAACAAACCGTTGACAACAAAATGGTCAGCTTTTTGTTTGAATTTAATCCACTGAGGTTTGCTACTGAAAGGGATAGATAAGTAACACGGCTTCTTCTTTTTTTTTAAGTCGCAAATAATGAGATAGTTCGAAGAAACAGAAAATGTGCAAGAATACGGTAATCTTATCTGTAACGACAAAACTATTAAATCTTTTAATGAATAATGAATTTTGGAATTTCTTAAGCACTTTCGTCTTAATTTATTAACAATGAGGAAACTAAATTATAACTCAAGGTTAATCTTCAAACCACATAATAACTGCAAAGTCAGAAGGGAAAAACAGTCAAACATTAAGAAATGTTTCAAACTTTTAACTTATTACTTTCGCTGCTAAATGTTGTAAAAAGTGAATCCATAATCAGAGTGAGAAACGTAACAAATAAAAATTTAACAATTTCAGAACTTATAAAATGATGCCTGGGTTGGCTGATATTTAAAAAAGTGAAGATGAAAATCAAACGAGTATTTAGAATTTCAAACCTCGCTCCACATATCACCAAAATTATTTACTACAGTTAACTGCTTTACAAGTTGTCCATTATCCAATGGATATAACATGGTTTCAGAAGTGTTCTGAAAAAATATGACAATTACTAAAATGAATAGTGCAGAAATTTTCTATTGCGGTATGTGAACAGACATTAAAAAACTACTTCAAAAGTCAATGACTTCCTTCTGATTGCATTTTTCATCAAGAATTCATAGGCATTTTCTTCCTTTAATTGATCTGATATTAATGAGTCTTCAGTCTCTTTTACCAGTACTTGCTCTGAAAGTCTTCTAACAGTTTTGAGAGACAATGTATATGTACTATAATTACTCAATTACTGTAAGCTTTCAAGGCAATTGAAAAAGAGAGAGATTTACACTAAGAATCAGTTATATTTTGAAATTATTGATAAAGAGGAATATTCTGGTGGTAAAAAAACAAACAAATTCTGACTGTAAAGACCAAATTTCCACCCAATCTTTCGATCCAACTTCTGAAAAAAGTTCAAAGTACCTGATTCTAAGTTATTTCCTTCGTTGTCTTTTGCATTGCAAACATCAATAATCTCCTCTACTAAAGCAACCTGCAATCAGTTTCATAAGGCAAGATTTTGATTCAGTATTTTAAAAAATTAAAGCTTAACAATGAGAATGAAGCATTTCTGACTTGATGATTCTCTTCACATTGGTCAGGTATTTGTTCAAAATCAACATTTACACAACTCCCTTGTTTCTTTTGAGTTGAATTAGCATGACATGACTGAGATGGGACAGCAAGCACTAAAATAGTCTGATTTTTTACAGTTCATGTTCCTAAACATAAATTTATTATGATGACTTTTCACGACAATATCATAGAAAGATTTATGATTGCAGAAATCTTGAGATTACAAGCGAACTTTGAGAAGAGACTGACTCACCCTCCTTGATATGTTCCAGTGCACTTTCATCAATAGCGATGAAATCTTCACTTGTTAAATTCAGTGCATTTTGCCCGCAATTTTTCAATGTCTCATTTATTTTCCTTTGTTTAGTAGCAGCAGTGGTGGTTTTTGTTCTACGAACTGCGATCTCATGAAGAATTCCATTTTGCTCAAGTGATATTTCTTTTTCAAGATCACATACAGATTCAATGAGAAAACCATCTTTGGCCTAGAAATATCTGCCTCTAGAATTAAAGTTAGAGCCAATTTTTGGAAGAAGCTACATAGCTTTTCGAAATTAAATACCTGTGTGCCATATCCACCCACAGTATCCACTACTTTTCGCGCTATCTTATTTACATTTTCAATAATATTTTCCCGCGATATTTGCATTTGTTCTACAACATTGATAAATGATATATCATGACGAAAAATTATTATAGAAAAGTTTTTTTTTCACAACATAGATTCCGCGAAAGTTCTTTCAAAACGAGAATTTTTCAAGCATATTACCTAAGGTCTTTGACATATTTTTCCCCACTGACATTACAGCGCCCACTTCATCGGTTCCAAAACTACTACCGGATGATTCACCACATAATGAAATGCCGCTTAAAGAAAATTATTACTTCATCACATGAAATACAAATTATTCAGGGTCCAATTTCACAAAATAAGGTAATATTTTATTAATATGTGACAATCTACCACCTCGATTTACGTAAAAAGCTGTTGTAATCGACCACAGTAGTCAAGATTGGAATGGGAATATTACGCAATGAAGACAAAACATTCAGCTCTTTTGCTACTTTCATACCTTCGAAAAGAATGTCTTTGGAAGCATTTGGCAACAAACTAGTATTTTTTTGAATAGAACTGAAGAAATTTTTTGTTGAATATTCTCTCTGTGGCCCTAAAACTAAGAATTTTTAGTCTGAGAGGAGGTGGAAATAAAACGATGGAAAGCGAAATTACAGAATCCAAACTTATAACATTTAAATAAAAATTGATTCTGCCTTCTAAAAACGATACGAATAAAATCAAATAATTCAGATACTGGACTGACTAAGTACTTGTTTGAGGTATACTGGAGCTTCATCAGAAGATAAACGAAAGACGCGATTTGGACAGAGAAAATAAATAGTTGGACATGAAACAATTGGATCAACGCAGATACTGCAATCCTAAAAAAATGTTGTAGACAATCGATATTGTCTTATTATGAATAATTAATATTTGCAGTCAACACATAAACGGCATCTCACCTCACACTCTTTTATGTCAAAGTGGTTTTTCGCATCAAATACCGATAAAATGGTCACTTGATCTTCAAAAAAATTCAGTAAAACGATAAAACTTCTATAATTCACCAAAAATTTTTGCTTATGTATTACTAATATGTTGGATCCCCACTTCTCGGACCTGTAAATTCGTAACGTTAGAGAACTACTATAAATTTATAAATTTAGAAAACCCTGGCATTTCAGGCAGTTGATAAAAGATCACAGGTAAAATTGTTTCAAAATATTATTGTTAATTCCTTGAAACATTTGAGCACTTAAGTTGTTGTCGTATACATTTAAATAAAACAAAAGCTTAATATTGCGTCTATAAAAAATCTTCGGAAAAATCACCTTCTTTCAATTTGTATATTTGATTCGGGGAATGTTTTCACTATCTGAAATATTTAAAAATGAGAATATGGATCTGAAAACTTGAATTATCCTTGTCAAATTGAAAACATAAAGAATGTTACTTATATACATACATTTTCCATCAAACTGAAATGTCCTGTTTTTTCGCCACGAAAAATATCGTAAATCATTAAAGAGCCATTAGATAACAAAACAAGTAATTTTGACCCACACGATTTATTAAGCAAATTTATACCGATAACCCTAAAAATAACTTGTTGAATTTTAGAAAAATTTTCAGAGAAAAGTGTAAAATAATAGAAATACCTGTGCTGTTGCTCTTCGATTTCTAATAATGGATCCCAACTTTCATTAATAACAGTGACTTTTTGAGCAGTGGAGATTGCTAAGAAACTCGAAAAATGAATCAGCTGAGTCACATAAGAAAGTTGAGAGCAAACAGTTGTTGTTTCGAATATATTCTGAAACATTCAACGTTAATATAAACATTTGTTTGCGATGGCAAATTAGACAACGGCAAATTTATTAATAATACTGAAGATAAAACAAGTTCCTAACTAAAGATGAATTGACAGAAAAGTTTCCTTACATGTTCAAAATTGACTGCAGTGACAACAACATTACCAGAGTTATCAGCAGAAAATACTTTCCTACCATCTTCCGTCCATGAAATACAAGTAATTGCTTTCCTTCTATGTTTATCAAATAGAAGGCTTTTTTCCAACTGTAAAATATTTCAATTAACTCAAATGAAAATTCATTCTCATCTTAGAAAAGCCTATCAATAAATAAACAAAATTAACTCAGTTTATTTATAACAGATAATATAAAATTTATAGTATATTCAGCACTCATGAAATACAAACAATTATTTGCTTTCACGAAACCAACCTTCCTCGTTGAACCAGGCTCACCAGTTGGAAAATTCAATAAAGCAAGAGTGCCAAATGAATGGCCCGCAGCGAGAAAATCATTTTCTCCAGATAAAAGTTTTACACATGTAATTGTGTCATGAACAATTGTCTCTAAACTGAAATCAAGACATTAAAAATTACATTAAAGAACTAAAGTTTGTTACAGCCAAAAGCAATTACCACTAATTTCATAGCACTACAACTAATTTTAGACGAAACTGAAGTTAACAGTGAAGTAATTCATAGCATAAATAAACTAAAAGACCATCAATCATTGAAAAAAGTTGCAACTTAATTGCCCAGCATACATTTACTTCAATTTTCCAAATTGAAATTTGAGCACATATAAAAAAAGCTAGAACTGAGTAAAATGGAAGTTGAAATTCAAATATCGCAATCTTGCGTACTACTTCGCTAATATCAAATTAATTAGTAACGAAAATTGCTGAATAATAATGCAAGTAAAAATAAGTTAAAGAATTCTTGCCAGTTTAAAAAAAAAGTTGCAATTTTTATATTTCCAAGTGCACAGTTGTTAATTAGCAGTAAATAATTTTAATTTATAAGAAATCATACGGAGTTGCAGTTCGATTTAATCGACGATTAAAAACGAACAAAGTACCAACATTAGTTCCAAACACCATATAATTTTTGCCAACATCGAAGCATGTCAATTTCGTTAATGTTTTTGCTGATGCCAGTGATACCTGGAAAAATTCACCAATCCACAACTGTATATAAAATATAAGAATGCTTGAAAATTATATTAGAAAAAATTAATAAAAAATTAGTAATGAAATAATTTTCGAAATAATTCTTTAAAAGTTATAAAGTAATTTATAGGAGAAAATAAAAATAATAATCAGGTATGCTTTAAAAATACATACCTGGTCAATTAATGCATGACACTCGTCTACATGGCTGAAATATTCTTTTTTTGTCATAACTGTGTCCAGATTCTCATTTTCTTCCTTGTCATCTGATTTCATTGACTGCAAGTAAACTTATAATAAAGTATTTTTCTACGTCTAATTAAATACTTAAAATATGACTAGAAAAATAAACAATTTATTTATTTATTTTTTTAAATTAAAATATCAAAAGCATGAAAATATTATACTTAATTAATGAACAAAAATTGTTTTTTCAGTCACGATTACTGCTTATAATGGAATTTACAAGAAATTCATAATAACTCTCAAAATAGAACTCATTTACCAACCACAACTGAATTTTTGCTGTCTGTACGTAAATTATACAAAATTTAATACTGCCCCAGTACGCTCTGTTCATTCCCACATGTTTAAAAAGTTTTATTTAAATACATTTACTTATCATTTAACCTTTGCTTTAATTTGATTTTTATTTTTATTTTACACTAAATTTATTCAAATTTTGTTAAACATTCACTAAAATTAATATTGATTCTTATCAGTAGTTTTCTTTTTTGTAATTTTTGATCAGTATTAATGTATTGGAAGAACAGATCTTGAATTGTTTTGATGATAACGTTTTAACTGATTCTTATCAGAACAGTTTAGCTCAACAGTACTAGAATTCACTGTTTCTGTTAATAAATTATTTTTACCGTACAGATTATAAGATACATTGTAAAAGCTTATTTGATCTGATGGTTCATCTTCCACCTTTTATAAAGCAAAATACTGTAGAGTAAGATTTTACAATATGCGCTATTTGTTGAAATATTAAAGTGACGTACGTATGTTTGTAACTATTATTGTTGTTGTTATTAGTCAGCTTACTGTTAAATTTAAGTACTAACGTTTCGAGATTAGTCGAGATAGAGCGGTCCTGATATCAAATGTAATCAGTAATGGTCCAGTAGAAGTTTTTCATATTATGGTTATATTCAGGTAAATGGTGAAGTCGTTTGTAATAATTAATTTATGTTTTAAATTAGCGCTCAAAATTATTCGTATAGTTTTTAAAAATTTAATCAAAAGTTTGAATTTAAAAAATTTGAAAAGAATTTAGCACAGAGTTAAATACAATTTTTTCATCTAACACAAGTATATTTTTTGTAAAAAGGTGTTAATAAAGCTTTTATCTATTGATAAAATAATATATATTGGCAGTTATTAATATGAAGCAGTAATAATTACAAGTATATATAACACTTAAGTTCAAAGTTCAAAAAATTTTTGGCTAAAAAGATTGCATAAATATTCATACAATGAGTTAAGATAATTTATAGCAGAAATTCATATGTTTACTTGCTTTTTAAAATTTTCAAATCTCGTAAATGTACTATCATAACTTCTGAGTGATTTTTTACTTACGTAAATCACTCAAAAGTTATGTAGTACACTTACTTTTGAGATTTGAAAAGAAAACTTTTTCCTATAAAATGCAAAACTTTTTTAAGTTTAAAAATATTATAGACTTTTTTGACTAAGTGAGTGGAAAATGTGGTGATGAGAAATACTCAAAACACATTTTTTCCGTGAATACATCAATCTATGGTTTGATATGTTTTTTCACATCAGACATAGGACAGGATATACTTTCTATCATTTCTGGAATTTGTGCTAATATATTTCAAGAATCTGAACTTAGATATGCTGTAGAAGGATAATTGGTGATCAGATGAATGTTTTGTTTGATCTGCTTTGATCTGATTTATAATTCAGCAAAGAATTTTGGCTGAACTATAAATCAGATTAAAGCGATTTTTCATAGACTGTGGTACAAGAAGTAATTTGTTTTAATCAGTTCACTGCTTTTTTTTTCTACCTTATTTAATTACTTTTTGGGTATGACAATTAATCATTTCATACAATTTGCATTGAGAAATAAGATTTATTTGCAAAATAAAATATCACAAAGTTGGAAGGTTAATCAAGTATTCAGAATAGATTCCTTGACAATCGCAGTTGACATTTTGTAAATATAAATAAAAGAGATCAAATAAAGAATGATCGATTAGGGTAATATAGTACCAGGCGTATAATTTGTAGTAAAAGCTGACTTGATTGAAAACGTGAATAAGATAAGCGCTGAAAGGCACAGCCAAAGATTAATAAGAATCTGGATTGCGCTTACTTCAGCGATTACGTATTCACGTTCCCACTGAGGGTATGGATTCCGAAAATCAATTACGCGTTGACAGTAATGATACTCATTTGATGGCCAATAACAGTGACGTTGGAATGGAAAATAATCCATCGATGATCTATCAAAAATTATTACTTTTATACTGAATAATAAACATGGACGGATATTTTACAAATGAATGAACAGTATAATTAGTGAAATAATAAACGTTGATCAGCTCGTTACGTTTGTCATTTTGGTAGTGGTAATAGTTAATTAAAAAAATACTGCAAGAATATTTTATAACAGTAATTGCAAGTTCAACTACAAAATTCACTTCAATTGAATACAAAATTTTCCGTGAGTAATTACTGTTACAAAATATTTTTAGAGTTTGGAGGGAAAATTTTTCAAAATTTGAAATGTTATTTGCAAATATTTTTATGTTGCTCTTCACTCGACTATTAATGCTAATTTTTTATTAATTAAGAATTTTGATCAGATTTATGCAAATTTTTGTAATTTAATTAGAAAATTTATATTTATTATTTTTGCTTCAACTAATTTAAGTAGCAAATAACTTGTTGATTTACTTAAATTTAAATGTCTGTATTATCAATATATACTATAATTACTTAATTAAGTATAAAAATTAAAACACTGATACCTTGTAAAAGTGCAAAAGAAGCCAAAAGAAACCACCGCGATTAGTGCCATTGCAGCACCTGAACCTATTATATTTACCAGTCGAATAAATTTCCCTAAATTTTTCCAAACCCAAATATGCTAAAAATTTTGTTTAATTTTGTTATTTAAATATTTCAATCTTTTTTTTTAAAAAAATAAGTGATATTTAACAAACCTTTTGTGCTATTTTATACACAACTACCGAATTTAAATAAGTGAAGTTTACTTAGATTTATATTTGAAATTCATTCTTCAAAAGGTGTTAACGTTCCTTTTTTATACCTTGATAACGATGCTTCCACGTGATAACAGATTGAAAAATAGAATAAAAAGTTACTAATAGTGCTGGCCATAAGTTAAAGTATGTACAACAGTACATGCGATGGAGCAAAGCAGCAGGTATCATTGTTAGGCTCACCACTAGCTGACCGTGGTAAGAACGGATTTGATATCTGAAATTTATATCAGTCATAAATCATCCATAAGTGATAATGATGATCACATAAGTGGTAGTTCAGGTGAAAATTTTGAGATGACCTATAGGTTGAAAATAGAACTTATTCGTTCATCTTTGAAATATTTAAACTTTTTTCAGTACTTATTAAAAACTGACTATTACATTAGTTTTGAAATGTTGAAAAAAGTATCTCAAAGAAAGCAAAAACTTTTTTCGAACTTTTTACCTCATCAAATTTTAGCAACAATTTTCAACACGTAACAAGTAACTGTTACTTATTAAAGTTACAACCGAAATAGTAGCAAAGTTATACTTACCCATTCTCTTTAGCACTGTAATAAGCAAGAGTAGAACAGGTTGCAGTGTGTGCTAGAGCAAGACCACTGAGCGAGAATGATATAACAAGGTCAATCGAAGTTAAATGCGAGGTCAGGCCTAACTTAGATATTAATGAGTGATGGAATCGCCTCAGTAAATCACTGCAAGATTTTTGATAGCCTTGTACGCGGTAATTTAATCCATAGCACAATGCTTGTGACATTGAAATCTTTTTACCTATAAAATCATTATGATTAATTCATTGATTGTTTGTTTTTGAACTAATCAAACATTGATTAAATCCCGATAAAAAATTTTTATTAGTGCTTAATTTATCCTTTAATTGAGGATTGAAATTGAAACTACATGCCTAAATATCATACATGTTTATCTATTCTTCAAAGTTCTATAAAGTAATTTGATTGATAAACTAAAACTGAATTCATGAAAAGATTTTCAGCAAACTATAACTAATCAAATAATCTGATACAGTAGTTTTTACCTTCATAATCATTGAGACTACTTTCTACTCCACAAAATGATTCAGCTGTTGATATTATTAGCAAAAATATTCCAAAAACTATGCTAATACATTGAAGCACAAAGTCCGTTCTGTAATTTTAAATTTAATTTATTTCGTTTGAGATACTTTAAATCATGACAATCCATAAGTAAAAAAGCTTAGTTAAAACATCTCACATTATCGTTTTTGATCAAAAAATATTTGATTTCAAACTTTGATTGATAAACTAACATTGAATTCGGCTACATTTACTGTATGTATTTTACTTTAGAAGCAATATAATGCTTTTTGCAAATGTGCTATTATAGCCTTTTCAAAATGATACTTTTACTAAATACTTGTTATTTTAAGCTGAAAACTAAATTTGAATTTGATTAATCAAAAGCGAATTAAAAAATTATTCTTTAAGTAATTTAAAATTTTTGAATTTAATTAAAAATTATCAGCAAATGAAATAAATTTTGTAAAGAGCAAAATCAACTAAATTGATGCAATTTTTTAATGAAAGTTAGCAATTATTATTGTGTGAAAATTTTTATTAGCAGCGCAAAAATAAGTGTAAAATTATTTTGAGAAGAGCAAATATTAATTTTTCTGCGCATATTATCAATTCTATGCAAAACATTTTATGAGAACAACAAAACGAACTATTAGTTTGAATTTACGCTATCACTATAAAAGTTAAATTTGTTATTAAGTTAAATTATTATTTAGTCTAATTAAGTTCAGTTAGCTGTGAATTATCATTATTATTTTATAGACAACATTAAGCTTGTCGCAAAAATTATTGTTATCACTATAAAAGCTGTTATCATCAAACTTTTATTGTTAAATTGTTATTAATACATGGATTATCAAATATTTGCCTCAAATTAAATTATAATTGCTGATATTATAATTTCAGTAAATTTTTACAATTAACAAGTTTTTTTCATAGTTAAAAAAAATATTTATTTTCGAATTTCCGATCATGTACTCATAAAAAGCATATATGTACAGAATAACCTGTTTGGATATCGAAGAAAAAGAGCGTGTAAAGCTGTGATTAATGCGAAAATAGCAGCGGTTATTGGTATTAAAAATGGGTAAAGTGGCAAGCAGAAAATTATATGATTTATCCCGAGGAAAAATTCACACTAAAATTAAATTAATGTCTCAAAAATTACTCAATTACTGAATTTATTATAAATTAAAACAATCATAATCAAATATAAAATTTTTTTTTTCATTATGATGTCAAGACAAATTAGTAAAAGCTCAAAAATTGCAATCGTCTTTTAATCTTAAAATTAAAACAATCATAATCAAATATAAAATAACTTATAACTTTTCATTTGTAGACTTATTTAAAACAAATTAAATTTAATTTCAAATGTCATTTCTTTCTGTACTTTACAAAATGTTGGATTTCCAATTCAGCATTTTAATTGCTATTTAATTCTAAAATAAAATATTTATTTCTTTTCATTTCAAGTTTCTGATGAATGAATACTTATTATTACAGTAATAACCTTCAAAAATAATATCAACAACTTACAAGTCCCATTGTGGCAAGTAAAGGATACAATGACCACCGTAAACCACTTTGACCATGCACAGCCATATTGAAGCTAAAAAATTTGAAAAAATTTGCCAAGTAGTATTGAAGAACACTGCGAATGATAGAGCCGAAAAAACAGCAGCATTTCTCTCAGACCTGAAATTCAATCTTTTTCTTAAAAATTTTTATATTTGATTGCCATATATGTCAAATCTTCAAGTATAAAGATTATTGATCAATTTTTGCAACAAAAATTATCTACATACCAGAATATATTCCTTATAAATCACTGTAAGCTAATACTACATCTGATTAAATTAGCTGAAGGCAACATTTGCAATCAGCATTTTAGCTGACTATTTGACTTAGAGTTTTACTGAAATATAGTATTTTAGAGATAAGTTTTGTTAATTCATCAATAATTTATTAAATTTCTTACTTATAATCACTTGCTAAAAATTATTCTTAAAAAGGATGAATTTTTAAACCACATCTTACTATAACTGCTCAAATTAAGTCCATGCAATCATTTCCCACAAAAACATAAAAAACTATCATAACTGTTAAAATGATTAACATAAGTTTCCGATACAACATCATAGTAATTATTTTCTCACTAACTAATTTGCATAATTTATAATTCACCTTAATTTTAGGCATCAAAATTTGAAAATTAAAAGCATCTAAAATACAAATTTATATTTTGACTAGTGAGAAGAACTAAGGAGTACTTTAAATGCTTTAATGTTGTGATCAGTGTTGCAATTGTTGTATGTAAACGAACTGCATTCAAACGTTTTTTGTGCAAAAGTAGTAGAAAAGATGTAAAAATAGACAAACTAACAGCACACAAATTTGACTTCTAGTTAATTTTCAAAATAAATATAGCAATTTTGCATAAAAAATATGACGCAGATACTTTTAATTACTACTGTGTGTTGAATGTGCTTTGCATAAATAAGTTAGTAAGTAAGTAAGTAATTAAGTAAGTAAGTAAGTTTGAGAATATTTCTTATATATGTGAAAACATCACTGAACTTAGCATAGAATGACAACTGACATACATGCATAAAGGCAATTATTAACAGAAAGGAAAGTTTTGAGAAAAGCAAAATAAGATTTTGGTTTATTTTCATAAATTCAAAATATTTAAAAATCGTAAAGCATACATTTGCTAACATTTTTGACAGCTAATTGCGAACAAAAAAATTTGCCATAAAAATTTATGATTTTAGAAAAAAGCTTTATGGGGATTTCTTCTGAAATAGATAAATAAACTTCAAAAATTTGCTCTTTTTACCAAACAAAATTTAACTATAATAGACAAAATTTTACACAATTATAATAGATAAATGGATTAAAGTTCAAGTTCAAGTTCAAGTTCAAGCTCAAGCTCAAGTTCAGCTTATGCTCATCCTCAATAAAACTAAA